TATTATTATTATTATTATTATTATTATTTTATGTCTGCCTTTGGTTATATTTTGAGTTTAATTCTGTGTATGTATTTATGGTGCACCAAATTCACTAAACCGAGCCTGCTTTTTTGTTGAGAGAGCTTTTGAGTGTCAAGGACAACCTGATATTTCTTGTAGTCTGAAGAACTTTAAAAGTTCCTGCAACTATCTTCCACCTTAAAACCCAATTTAAGCAGAGTGCAAGAGTTTCTTTCTGTATGGTCCAAAAAAAAAAAGCCCCATGAAATTTAAGAAAATACAAAGCCTTTGAGGCAGAAAGAATCAGAGGCCTACCTGACAGTTGTGCCAGCCAGTTAAATGGATTTGTGGAAGGACAAATGCTGTGACAATAGGATATGAGACTCATCTTTCAAATGTTTTTGATCAATGGAAGGGTGGGAGGAAAGGAATAGTGATGCTAAAGAAGTGGGGAAATGTTAACTTGTAATATGTATTTTTACTACACTTTTCTTAAATATAGAATAATGGGGATTGGGGAACCCTTAAAGACATTGACATTTTCTCAACAAGATTCCATATTTAACAGTTTTGGCTTTCATTAAATTTTGCTCTTTGGTACCTGGATATATATTTATTTTTTAATTTAAGTGTTATATTTGTTTTCACTCACCATCTTCAGTTCACTACAAGTGTTTTGCAGATTTTACTACCTGTCATTTATTGATGTAAAAAACAAAGAAAGAAATATTGCCTGGGATTTTTTATAATATGGATGCTTTCTCCATTTTTCTTCCCTAACCATGTTCCTTTGTTTCAAGACTGGATGAATGGAAGCAGAACAAAATATGTTACAATTAGTGTTTTCAAACATTCTGCCAATACAGAAACCAAGTCACATGTGAATGTGTAAAGCCCTCTAAACTGTAAGAGAAAAAGCTCTTAATTCTCAGAATGTTTCTTCAGTATCTAGAAGACTATTCTAGATACTAGATACTGCCAAAGTGATGCTGCTTGAAACTCCAGACTATAAAACCCAATCCAGTTTCATTTCACACTGAGCCTAGCACTTGAGGATGGTTTCAGAACTGATTTGAAATGGACCTTCAAGGAGAAGCACAAAAAATTGATGTTAATTGGCCAGATTTTAAAGAGTTTTCTGACACAGCTACAATGAAGCAAGACATTCACATCTCTGTTTAGGAATCAGAATCTCACAGCCCAGTGGATGCAACTATAACCACTACTGTCCATTCCTGACTTGGAAGTTTATTATTGTTCCCTGTAATCCCCAAGCCTCTCAACTGACAATGCTGGTAGTATTTGCATGCCTGTGGGCTGTATGATATTTGATCATGCTAAACCTGGAGCCTTCATTGTGGTCTGGAGTTCTAGGTGTTGGCTCTAATTCATCTGGAAGGCTCCAGTTCCAAGAAGGCTACTCTCGCTGCACCACTAATAAAAGTAGGATCATGTCAGTATACCAAAGGTTTTTTGGTGATTACTCATTCTTAGGAGCAGTTATTTCTTGGAATTGAATATAATTTGCAAATGGAAAATCTATCAAATATTTAAAGTGGTCAGGAAAAATAGGTAGCGATTTTGATTATTATGCTGGGGAACTTGATTTTGTTTAACAGTGTTGTGCACTAGAAACAAATTGACACAATTTGTAAAAATACTTCTTGACTGTCCTAGTGGACAATTCTACACTTCAGAAGTTACAGTGTTTATCTTAGATTCTTAACTATTTGCACAGAATGCATAATTAGCTTAAGTATTAGAATTAAACTTTAAAATGCAGCATTCAGAAAGAGGAAGATGTCCATAGTATAAGTTGTCAAAATAACAAAGCAACTTCTATCCATCTTATGGAGTTCATTATTTTTCCACCTACTTCCAGCCTATTTGAATATAGCAAATGACAAACATTTGGATTGCACCTTTCATTGTAGTTCAATAATTAGCAGCTTTATTCGATCTTATTATATTTGTAGGATGAGTTACACAATAATGGTGTCCTACATGTTTTAAGCTATGAGTGTCTGTTTTTTGTATGATTGAGTGCTCAATTTTTTCTAGGGCTACAATCCTTATGTTTACAAGCAGGCTAGTTCCATAATAAATCCATGGAACTTAATTCTGTATGTATATAATAAGGCAGATGCGAAAAAAAATTTGGCTCTCCAGATGTTGCTGAATTATAACTCCCAGAATATTAAGATGTTCAACGTGTTGAAAGAAGTAAAATTTAAAAGTAATCCATACTAGCCATTTACTTAGACTTAAAGCATGGTTTTCATCTCAGACTGTGGAGTTACATGTTAGGTCCAATGTAATTGGAGGTATAGAAATGGCATCCATGGCTGTTTGATTTTGATCATTATCTGAATACCTACAGAATAAATATTTTCTGTTTCCAGAAAGATAAACTACTCTGGCTTTATGGGACCTATTGCTACAGGTGTTATGCACATTAAAGCCGTTCAATTTTATTTAAAAGTATAACTGTATGGTACAGACCATTCCCTTGGTATCTGCTGTTTCAGGACATCCTCTCATAGAGAGTATAGTTATTTGTATGTGTGCGCGTGTCCTCTAGAAACGTTCCAAATATAATTCCCAGAATTGGGAGGGTGCCAGGCTGGGGAAGCTGATTTAGAAATAGTGGACATTCAGTAGTATTTACAAAGCTATGGTTCAGCCATGATCCTCTTTATTAAAATGTATCCCATCACTTGTGAATCCTTTTGAAGTTGCTTATGTACTTATTTAGTGGTTTACTGGTTAGCAACTTCCAAGCAGTTGACCTGGGTCATCACCCAGACTGGATGGTAGGTAGGTAGATGATAGAGATAGATGAAGGAAGGAAGGAAGGAAGGAAGGAAGGAAGGAAGGAAGGAAGGAAGGAAGG